GGGGTTTGTCGCTGAATTCCTCTGCACAGCAACACCGGTCTTCCTTGGCAGTCTCCCGTCCGGGGTACCGGCTTTGCTTCGCTTCTGACGTAATCCGGCTAGTCTGAGCTACATTAACTCACACCCAGGGCTATTTTTGGGCAGGAACGCACAGGAACGGAGTTCCGGCTGGCTCCTAAGTTGGCCACGCCCAGCGGGAACTCATTAGCATAACAGGCCACACCCAACAGCAGAAACTCACTAGGATTGGCTACAATTAGGGGTGTGTGGCCTAACATGCAAAAAGCCCTGGGTTTTGCCAACAAACAAGGTCAAGAGAATGAGAAGCAAAAAGGTGGGTGTGGCTGGATGACCACACTTCTGGTAACACGGGAGTGCGGCCTAATATGCGAATGAGCTGTGCTGTCAAGGGTGTGGCCTAATATGCTAATGAGTTCCTGCTGGGCTTTTTCTACAGAAAAAGCCCTGCTCACACCTATCTACCAGGTGTGTGGCTCATGCCAATCGTGAAAGCATCAAAACTGGGCTGTTGTTGTTGTTCAGTCGCACAGTCGAGTCCGACTCTCCGCGACCCCCTGGACCAGATCACACCAGGCCCTCCTGTCTTCCGCCGTCCTCTGAAGTTGGCTCAACTTCATGTCCGTTGCATCGATGACACTGTCTAACCATCTCCTCCTATGCCGTCCCCGTCTTCTTCGACCTTCAAAACGGCTGCCCAGGGGCAAAGAGAGGATTCCTGCCAGGGATTCCCTTGGTGTGCAGAAAGACATGACTCTGGTGAGTCGTGTTCCCTCTAAGCTGAGTAAGTGTGAGCTAGCCCATGACTCTTTAGCCTCCAGATCACACATTTTTTGTCTCGGCTCGGGAAGGAGGGCTCCAGAGCAGACTAATTGATGCAGCAGAGCCCAATCGCTCGCTCACCACTTTAATGCTGGTCGCTCACAAAGTGGAATTTTTGCTCACAGGAGGGAGCATTGGCTGAGTTTCCAAACGGGGAAAAAAATAACAACGGGGTGAGGACTAAGCGTCTTCTAGGAGGCACCGAGAGCAGCTGACCCAGTTTAGCAAGTGGGAGAGGGATGATAAAGGGGTCTCCTCCAGTTCCTGAGTGGCTATAAAATCCAGGCAGGGAGAGGAAGAATTGTGAAACTTCCCCTCCTTGAAGTCCAGCAGGCAGCGTTGGCCAACCACAGTGGCTGGAGCGTGGGGGAAATCGGCCAAGATGGCCAAGAGAAGAACAGAAGAAGAAGAGATTGGATTTATACCCCACTGCCCTTCACTACCCGAAGGAGTCTCAGAGCGGCTGACAAACTCCTTTCCCTTCCCCTCCCCACAACAGCTGTGGAGCCTTGTGAGCAAAAATTCTACTTTGTGAGCTTCTGGCATTAAAGCCGTGAGCGAGCGATTTGGCTCCTGCATAAATTAGTTTGCTCCGGAGCCCTCCTTCCTGAGCTGAGATGAAAATGTGTGAGCCGGAGGCTAAAAAAATGTGAGCTAGCTCACACTAACTCAGCGTAGAGCGAACACTGCCTGTGAGGTTGGTGGGGCTGAGAGAGCTCTCTTGAGGACTGCCCTTGAGAGAACAGCTCCGAGAGAACTTGTGACTGACCCAAGGTCACCCAGCTGGCTGCATGTGGAGGAATGCACAAGAGGATCCCAGTCAAACCGGCACGAAGTCACTGCATCCTACGGGCTACCCCGGCGCTACTGTGCGAAAGGAGACTAGAGCCCTCTGCTCCCGAACCCTCCCTCGTTTGGCCACGGCTTCCTCTCAAGGAATGCACAAGAGGATCCCAGTCAAACCGGCACGAAGTCACTGCATCCTACGGGCTACCCCGGCGCTACTGTGCGAAAGGAGACTAGAGCCCTCTGCTCCCGAACCCTCCCTCGTTTGGCCACGGCTTCCTCTCACCTTCCGTTTCTCGTCCACTTGGGAGAAGAGCTCGTCCATGTCTGCCAGGTACTTTTCCTGAAAGAGAGAGGCAGACGCCTGAGCAGGGAGGGACGGTGGAATAAAATTGATCATCGCCGGCTGCTCGCCTGGGACGAGACCACAGAGGTGGCTGTGTGCCGGCATCTCTGTTTCAAACCCATTTCTTCCACCTGGAAGGAGGTACCTGCTCGGGTCTCCCCGGGCCGGAAAAGGGGGGAAACTATCCTTTCCAAACCAGCACCCCTGAGACTCGCATGTTTGATGCAAGCGCGAGCAGAGAGAGCAACAAAGTAGGGGTTTGATAACATTAACGGCCGCCAGGCATCAGTGAAGATGTTCACGGCCGGAAAAGCCTGCTTCTGGTACAGGCCCAGCTAGTGGAACGAGGGGTCTGCTTTTTGCAGCTGCCCGTCTACAGAAGCCAAGGGCGGAGAAAGCTGTCGGCCGCTGACAAGTGCCAGAGTGAATCAAGACGCCCCCGGTCAAATGAACCAAGATCAGGCCCGTACCTACGGTGGGGCTTTTGGGGGCTTCTGCCCCCTTTCTCAAAGGCACCCCCCCACAAGAATTACTTCTGTAAATGCTTTCCCCCCAAATCCTTTTAAAACTTTTTTTAAAAAGGCGTGCACTCCTTTAAGCAGAGTGGGGTGGTGTAGTTGACTGATTCCCGCACTGAGCAAGGGGGTTGGAGTAGGTGACCTCTAGGCTCCCTACAAACTCTGTCAGGAAACTGGTCCCCTTTAAGAGAGTTTTTCTGCCTAAGTGTTAGCTTTCTTGACTATAGAAGCCATCACCCCCACCTGCTGGCCTGTGATCACAATTGTTGTTTAGGCCGGCAGAAGCGATTAACTTGCAGCAGCTGAGAACTGTCATCTAAGGACAGCTTGCAATTTAGAGATCTCTCCTACTAACAGCTTTCTCTGCTGGCTAAATGGCTTTTCTTCCTGCACTGAGCACATCCGCCCCACCAGAAAAAAAAACTTCCCCACAAGCCACAAAATCCGGGCTACGGGCCTGACCACGACGGAGAAGGACCCTCACGTGTTTGGTTTCGATGTTCCCCAGCTGCGCCCGGCTCCGGTTTTCATCCACGTTCTCCTCTTTCTGCGCCCGCCGACATTCTTCTAACTCCCTGCGAGAGAAATAGAGGAGTGAGGAGAGGAACGCACGCCGTTTGGCGGGCGAGATGGCACGAATACGGTGGGCTGGGGAGGAAGAGGGGAATCAGTACCAGAAGCCACCATATTGAAAGGTGGGATGGGCACATGGGTCGGACCGGACCAACCGTGGGATTGGGCCAATACCGGCTGTTCGGTTTCTGGGTGTGACTCAATATGCCGAGTAGTGGATCTACAGAGTCCCAACTTAAAAAGTCTCCTTGCATAAAGACACAGCACAGCCATTTCTGGATCGTACCATTTCAGAGTGGACGAGGGGGGGGGGGTTGCACCATCCAACACTCCCCCACATTCAAAATAGCAAACGGACATCCCTGCATGCAGAAAATTAAGTGCCCGGGGTGGGGTGGGGTAAAGCCTACTACTCCTTCCAAACTTCCCCTTTTCTAAGTGACGGGGTTTTCTTCGGTTTCCGTTGCACCCTCCCACAGTCCCACAGAAGAGGGACAGTCCAGGAACCCGTTTACCTCTCAGAGAGCCCCTGGGGGGGTTGCAGCCAGCGTTCCCTCTAAGCCGAGTTAGTGTGAGTCAGCTCACAGTTTTTTTAGCCTCCGGCCCACACATTTTTGTCTCCGCTCGGGAAGGATGGGGCTCCAGAGCAAACTAACTGATGCACCGGCCAAATGACCTGCTCACAACTTTAATGCCAGCAGCTCACAAAGCAGATGTTTTGCTCACAAGACTCCACAGCTTAGAGGGAACATCGGTTGCAGCCCTACGCACATCCGCCTTGAAATAAAACCCACCGACCACAGTGGGACTTTCACTTTGACTAGACACGTGTTGGATTTGCTGGACGCCTACAGTTTCCAATTGTGGCCTCTGAAGAGAACACACCCTTAAGACTGGTGTTCCCAGGGCGCTGAACACCAGGACGGATTAATCAGACATAAGAGCCAAAGAATAAGGGAGCAGGAAGGCTCTGCTTCATCTCAGCCTTGGACTTAAGACTGGCGTTCCCAGGGCGCTGAACACCGGGACGGATTAATCAGACATTAGAGCCAAAGAATAAGGGGACAGGAAGGCTCTGCTTCATCTCAGCCTTGGCTAGAAACCGCCTCGATGATCTTTGGCAAGCCCCACCTCTCTCAGCACCTCACTGACAACACTGGGACCACCTCGCAGGGCCGTTGTGCTTACAGAGATAAGACTTTGGAATATTTTTAATTCTCATAGAAAGGAGAGTCCAGCAGCACCTGAAAGACGAACAAAACCTGTGGCGGGGGAGGAGCTTTGAGTCACGGGCAGTGTTCCCTCTAAGCTGAGTTGGCGTGAGCTAGCTCACAGTTTTTTTAGCCTCCGGCTCACGCATCTTTGTCTTAGCTCAGGGAGGATAGCTCCAGAGCAAACTGATTGATGCAGCAGCCCAGCTGCTCGCTCAGAACCTTAATGCCAGGAGCTCAGAAAGTAGAATGTTTGCTCACAAGACTCCGCAGCTTAGAGTGAACATTGGTCACGTGGCTCCCTTCTGAAGTGAGCGCTTTTCTCCTGCTACAGACAGACGTAACAGGGCAACCCGTCTTGATTTAATTCTCATAGTAACACTTGGCCTTTACAGGGGCGAGCGGATGCGCAAACCACTCACCTGTAGCGGGATCCGGTATTTCTCAAGAGCGCCTCCCCCCCCCCCCCACACCGGCAGATCGTTCCCGGTCTTTACCTCTCCTTCTCGGCCACGATGAGTTTGGTGAGATAGGAGTGCAGCTCATCTTCTTGGTTGATCCGCTTCTCCTCGATGTTATTCCAGCGCTTCTTCTTGGCGATCCGCAGGGCGCTGGGAATGTCGTCCCCAAAGTTCAAGCGTTGCTCCTTGGCCAAGTTATAGGCTGCATGGGACAAGAGCCCTTCGTTCAGGAGGGGAGATGGAAATCCTCCTCGGCCAGGGCTATTTTTGGGCAGGAACGCACAGGAACGGAGTTCCGGCTGGCTCCTGAGTTGGCCACGCCCAGCAGGAACTTATTAGCATAATAGGCCACACCCAACAGCAGAAACTCATTAGGATTGGCTACAGTAGGGGTGTGTGGCCTAACATGCAAAGGAGTTCCTGCTACAAAAAAAGGCCCTGGGTTTGGACAACAAACAAGGTAAACAGAATAAGAAGCAAAAGGTGGGTGTGGCTGGATGAGCACACTTCTGGTAACACGGGGTGTGGCCTGATATGCTAATGAGATGTGTTATCAGGGGTGTGGCCCAATATGCTAATGCGTTCCTGCTGTTGGGTGTGGCCTATTATGCTAATGAGTTCCTGCTGGGCTTTTTCTACAAAAAGAGCCCTGCTCCTCGCTAATAACGCCCCACATTTGAAGGATCAGACGAGGGGCGTTAGGGGCCAGACAACACACTTTGGGGGTCTCTCCTAGGGTCTGGTGCCCCGTACTTACTCATTTGGGCTAGGATCGAGGGCTGGGTTCGGATCCCCACGCAGCCAGTAAACTCACTGATTGACTATGATCCAGCCCACTCACTCTCTCCCTCTCAGCCTAAGCTGCCCCGCGGGGCTGTTGTGAGGATAAAATGGGAGAAGGAGAAGAAGAGATTGGATTTGTATCCCCGCTGAGAGCACTTGTATGAAATAATGCGGTATTCTCAGTCCTCATCAAATGGGGCATTTACAGGGGCGAGCTGATGCACAAACCATTCACCTGTAGCGGGTCTGTTATTTCCCCCCATTTGATGAGTACTGAGAATACCGCATTATTTCGTACAAGTGAGTATGGTATTGAGCGCCGAACGCAGCACCCAGCGGACATGGCTCCTTCGCTCCTCCATTTTATCCTCACAACCCTGTGAGGTAGGACTGGCCGAGAGAGAAGACGACTGGCTCTAAGTCACCCAGTGAGCTCAGGTGGCAGTGCGAGGATTTGAATACGGGTCTCCCAAATACTGGTCCCACACGACGCCCTGCTGGCTCTCTCTTAATTCCCCTCCGGCAATTTGGCTCCTGCTAAACTGTGGACCCCCTCCCCCAGAGAAGAAGAAGAGAAAAGAGACTGGATTTATACCTCGCCCTTCACTCCCCGAAGGGGTCTCAGAGTGGTTTACAAACTCCTTTCCCTTCCCCTCCCCACAACAGACACCCTGGGAGGCAGGTGGGGCCAGGATTCCCAAGTACTTACGGTGATTCGGCGGGGGACAAAGACATCTTCGCAGGATCATTCCTGCGGGGACAACAGACGCGCCGCACCAGGCCGTCGCCAGGAAGTGACGCCGGGTGACGCTCTGGCAATGGGGCCAGAAACTCAATGGTATCATTGAGTTTTCAGCCCCATTGCCAGAGCGTCGCCCAGCGTCATTTCCTGGTGACGGCATGGTGTGCTTTGCTACGGGGAGACATGTTCCAGCCGGGGAGCATGTGCCCCCCGCCGGATTGCGGTAAGTACTTGGCAACCCTAGGTGGGGCTGAGAGAGCTCTTTTGAGGACTGCTCTTGAGAGAACAGCTCCGAGAGAACTCGTGACTGACCCAAGGTCACGCCGGCAGCTGCATGTGGAGGAGCGGGGAATCAAACCCAGTTCTCCCAGATTAGTGAAGAAGAAGAAGAAGAGATTGGATTTATACCCTACCCTTCACTACCCAAAGGAGTCTCAGAGTGGCTTACAATCTCCTTTCCCTTCTCCTCCCCACCACAGACACCCTGTGGCTCCTCTAACCACGACACCAAGCTGGCTCACCGAACGTTGGGTATTCCAGGGCCCGGCCCGGCCGCGCCTTCCCAGCTCACCCCTCTGAAGGTTGGCAATGGCCTCGTCGTAGTTCTCCATCTCCATCTGGCACTGCCCCAGGAAGAAGTGGGCCTTCACCGACTGGCTGTCCAGTTCCAGGGCGTGCTTGCAGTCGGCCAGGGCCTTGTCGTGCTGCTGCATCTTCAGGTAGCATAAGGCACGGTTCGTGTAGTAGACGGCCACTAACGGATTCCGGTTCTGGAAAGAGAGGGGGAAGTGTTCAGAAACCGGGCCGACGGCTCGGCCTGTCCCTCAAGGGGTCCGGGACTGCCACAGCCCAACGAGGGGTTATCGAGTGACAGAGCCGAAGTGCCTCGACCTGGGTGGCCCGGGCGAGTCTGATCTCGTCCGAACTCGGAAGCTCAGCAGGGCCGGCCCGGGCAACTACTTGGATGGGAGACCTCCAAGGAATACCAGCAGTAGGGAGGCGGGGGCAGGCAATAGCAAGCCACCTCTCTGAAAACGTCCTAGCCCCACCAGGACATCGCCAGAAGTCACCATGACTTTCAAGCATACAAGCACGCACACAGATACCCCTCCCCTCAAAAGTTAGAAGAAGAAGAAGAGATTGGACTTATACCCCACCCTTCACTACCTGAAGGAGTCTCAGAGCGGCTTACAAACTCCTTTCTCCTCCCCCTCCCCACAACAGACACCCTGTGAGGAAGGTGGGGCTGAGAGAGCTCTGACAGAAACAAAAGGACAGCTCTTATCAGAACTACAGCTTGCCCAAGGTCATCCAGCCAGGTGCAAGTGGAGGAGGAGTGGGGAATCAAGCCTGGTTCTCCCAGATTAGAGTCCGCGCTCTTAACCACGACACCAAACCTACAGACCCGAAGCAAAGGATCTCTGCAGTAGAAACAGCAACAGATTGAAGACAAAGGGAAGTCCTGTTTCATGCACCTAGTAAGCAGAGGCACACCAGAGATGTCTTGCCTACTGGCAGAAACTAAAAAAAAAAACGGGATCTGCTCGACGCGTGCACTTACAGACCACCTGATCATTTTCAACATGGAACGAGGTTTGCTGGGCCACAGAATTCTTCCCAGACCAGGGGTGTCAAACGTAGGAGCCCTCCCACTGTTGCTCCCCCCGCAGGCACCAAGAAGACAGAGCATCCCTTGCCCCAGACTGAGAGCTTTTATCTATGCCTTGTGGCTAATAGCCACTGATGGACCTCTGCTCCATATTAAGAACATAAGAGAAGCCAGTGTTGGATCAGGCCAAAGGCCCCTCCAGTCCAACACTCTGGGAAACACCAGGTGCAATCGGGAGGTCCAGCGGTGGGGCCAGGACACTAGAAGCCCTCCCACTGTCCTCCCCGCCCCCACAAGCACCAAGAATACAGAGCCTCCCTTGCCCCAGACCAAGAGCTCCTATTTATACCTTCTGGCTAATAGCCACTGATGGACCTCTGCTACATATTAAGAACATAAGAGAAGCCAATGTTGGATCAGGCCAAAGGCCCATCCAGTCCAGCACTCTGTGTCACACAGTGGCCAGAAATACCAGGGGCCATCAGGAGGTCCACCAGTGGGGCCAGGACACTAGAAGCCCTCCCACTGTTGCCCCCCCCTCCAAGCACCAAGAAGACAGAGCATCCCTTGCCCCGGACTGAGAGTTCCCATCTCTTCCTTGTGGCTATAGCCACTGATGGACCTCTGCTCTTAACATAAGAAAAGCCAGTGTTGGATCAGGCCAATGGCTTATCTAGTCCAACACTCTGTGTCACACCGTGGCCAAAAATACCAGGGGCCATCAGGAGGTCCAGCAGTGGGGCCAGGACACGAGAAGTCCTCCCACTGTTGCCCCCCACACACACAAGCACCAAGAAGACAGAGCATCCCTTGCCCCAGACCGAGAGCTCCTATCTATACCTTGTGTCTCATAGCCACTGATGGACCTCTGCTCCATATTAAGAACATCAGAGAAGCTAGTGTTGGATCAGGCCAATGGCCCATCTAGGCCAACACTCTGTGTCACACAGTGGCCAAAAATACCCGGTGCCATCGGGAGGTCCACCAGCGGGGCCAGGACACTAGAAGCCCGTCCCACTGTTGTCCCCCCCACAAGCACCAAGAATACAGAGCATCCCTTGCCCCAGACCGAGAGCTCCTGTCTATACCTTGTGGCTGATAACCACCGATGGACCTCTGCTACACTCACCTCATCGCCTATGGTGACTCGGAGTCACCTGAAGGCGACCGTGCAGGAAACCTTGCCCCAGACCGAGAGCTCCTATCTATGCCTTGTGGCTGAGAGCCACCGATGGACCTCTGCTCCATATTTAGAACATAAGAGAAGCCAATGTTGGATCAGGCCAAAGGCCCATCCAGTCCAGCACTCTGTGTCCAAAAGTGGCCAAAGAATCGGAAGGTGGAGCAAAACAGCAAAAGGTCCACCTTATAAACTGAGAAGTAAAAAGGCGAACCCCAGTACCTGAAGACGTGTTCGGAAAGCCCAATAAAGGGACAATATTAACCCCAAAGGGACATTATTAACATACTTAATGTCTTTATTTTTTACAGGTAAAGATGAAAAGAAGAAAGGTCAATCACAGAAGAAGCCAAAGACTTTGTGCATGCTAATAACAGATTAATATACTAATCAAAGCATCACTCACCACTTTTCTTGATCCATCTATATACCCTCCCTGTTTTCTGAATTTAAAAGCAAGAACATAAGAGACACCAATGTTGGATCAGGCGAAAGGCCCATCCAGTCCAGCACTCTGTGTCACACAGTGGCCAAAAATACCAGGTGCCATCAGGAGGTCCAGCAGTGGGGCCAGGACACTAGAAGCCCTCCCACTGTTGCCCCCCCCCACGCACCAAGAAGACAGAGCATCCCTTGCCCCAGACCGAGAGTTTCTATCTATACCTTGTGGCTGATAGCCACCGATGGACCTCTGCTCCACTCACCTCATCGCCTATGGTGACTCGGAGTCACTTGAAGGCGACCGTGGAGGAATGCTTTTGGAAACTGAATGACTGGTCCTCTTTCTCTCTCTTTTCGCATTAAGCCTATGGCTGTGCTCTGTGTGGCTCACAGAGGCAAGCTAGTAAATCTGCGGCCCGGCAGATCTCAAAGTCTTAAGTTGCAGCCAATGTTCCCTTCTAAGCTGTGGAGTCTTGTGAGCAAAAATTCTACTTTGTGAGCTACTGGCATTAAAGGTGTGAGCGAGCGATTTGGCTGCTGCACAAATCAGTTTGCTCTGGAGCCGTCCCTTCCTGAGCCAAGACAAAAAGGTGTGAGCCGGAGGCTGAAAAACTGTGAGCTAGCTCACACTCACTCAGCTTAGAGGGAACCCTGGTTGCAACTCTTTGCACTCCACACGTACTAACAGGAGACGCCCTCCCAAAGAGCCTCATCGGGAAGGCAGGGACTCCGTCACAGCCAGAAGAACTGGTCTTGCCAACGAGGAATGCAAACAGAATCCAGGCAAGGGGGAAAGCTTTGTTCAGCACTCACCGTCCGAATGCAAGGTGGGGGCAAGCCCCGGAGGAGAAGATCCTACAGG